TCCACAATTTCAGTTGTAATTGTCTTTGATATTCAGCAAGTAGAGGGGAATCACTGTGTCTTCTTATTACTGAACATCTGTCCTCCTGATTCAGGAAATATGAAACGTTTGTTTCTAGCATAACTGATATACACGGAAGATCAGGTAGACCTCAGTTTATCTTTGTTGTGACATTTAATGTACCTAAAACATATCCGTGAAGGAGGTATTCTCCACAATTCTCTAGTTTTGAACAAAATTACGTGATCTGAAATGTTGTGGTTTGCAGGGGAAAGTATGGTTACATTTCATCTTGGACTGCTTTCCCTGCAGGTCATGAATTTATTCAACTAACTGCGAACTCTATTCAACGTATTACCAGTTCGATCAGATGACTAGCTATAATTTAGGTGGTTCGAACTTATTCGGCACTTTGACCTGAGTCAAACTGGATATATCGCTGATGAGCCAGGTCTCAGGAAAGAGAAATGACTGCCCTGTACTTACTTCACTTCGGTGTGGCTAGCGAACAAAGCAGCAGAACAACTGGTCTCGAATCCATACGTGAACAGTCTATTCATAATATTCATACTAATTTGAATATTTTAGCTAACTTTTCAATGACTACCCTATTTCTCTTACCTGTATATCGTACTTTTAACATTTTCATATCTCCTTTCGACGTCATTTGTTTTTTTTTGGATGATTCCTATTCACATTGCTTCACTTTGATGTTATGTGACTGTGTTGGTAACGGTGTTATGTTATACGATTGTCATTTAGATTGGTTTCACCTTCGACTGTATACAGAAGACGCGTTTTGTTCTATCTGATTCTTGCACACAGGGTTGTTTGACCCCACGTTATTGGAAATACACATTCTGACACTCAGTACGTATTCTTTACCTGAGTTCAGAAGGAAACAAGCACTCATGGTTGATGTGAGTGCTATCCAACTACTCATATCAATCAATCGGTCAGCGGTATACATCATCATGCATTTAGGTATTTTATTACCTTTCAGATGAACAGATAGAAGTTTCGCTTCTTAGTTGTGTGTCATCATCGTCATCACCAGCTGACCTATATCTTGAGTCTTCTGATGACTAACTTCTCACGAGAGATATAGATTTTGATGAATTTTCATCATTTTTATTGGGCTCAGGATTCTAATTTACTCAATATAATCATCACCAATAAAACTTATGGCAAATGAAAAAGGCATTTTATTAAAATTCACTTCTCATATTTTATGTCTTCCCTTTGAAGTTTTGAGAATGAAGTCGATATTATTATTTTTATTATTATTACTATCGTGCAGTTAAGGTTCAAAATCAGCCACTTCGTCTCTATAGTTACCATTGTGACAATTCGATGATGACAATGCATGATTTTGGTTGGTCCATTTGAATTCACCTTGAGCCAATCAAATAGATAAATCATACTGAAGAATGATTTGAGTAAAATTTCTATTCCATACTACTGTTCATTCATTTGGGTTTACAGAACAACATAAGCGTCAAAACGCACTTGACTAATGCGCTTGATGTGGTTGCACAGTGAGTGATTTTATTCTTCTTTCAAAGCGATTATTGTCAATTAAGGATGCACAAAAGCTGAGCTCATTTCGATCGCCGTCACATGGATACCACTGCTGCCTCTTCTTCATTTCTGTGTTGAAGACTTCTTCAGCAAGATATCAAAGTCCAGAGGAACTGCATGCTGGGAAGCTGTGATCCGAGAAGCGAGAGATGCAAGTTGGAAGATAGATTGGATTTCTGTTCAAATGAAACGTCTTCATGTTATGCTCAACAAATTCAGGTGAATCTAAGTGCGGCAAGTGACTTGAAATTTTAATTTTAATATTCTCTGTAATAAAATATTTCCGACTTATAACTGATATATTTAAAACCTCATTGTATAACTGGTATTGGTGGAAGTGTGAATGAGAATCACACTTAGTCGACTGGTGTTCATCTGAATTTATTTACTTCACTAATCCAACCGAAAAGGAATCAATGTCAGCCTGCTGTGGACTTTGTCCACATTTCAGCTTCCTGCCTTGCAGTATCAACATGCTCACATCAGTTACCATAGATAGTTGAGTTGGATATTAGAAGAGGCTCCTTATTTGAAAATCATTCTGTAAAGACGACAATTCCAAAGCTGCACAATCACTTTTATATTTCAACTCGTTGTGAAGAACGTTAAAATGTGAACATTTGTTGTGAGAAATCAAGAAAATGATTTAAGCTCATCCAAAACTGTCATATCGGGATAAGACTGGCTTCATTACGACATGCCAGGAGAAGGTTGTGTAAGCTGAGGGAATTCTGACTTCCGCTGACTTCATCGTACAACGAGGTCATAATGGTCTTCTCAGTAAACTAATGGCTATCACCTATTAAAATATGCTTGTCTGGTAAAGCGAAGTCAATCCTATACAAAATATCACTAAGTATAGGCTGCCAAATCCTCAGTAGTTTCGATCTAGGCAATTACATGAAGTATATCTCCATCTTTCACTCTATCCGATATATAATCGAACATCATGCGTCCATCTGAAATCGCCTCTTCCTTCTGCGGTAAAGCGATGCATGTGAACGCAGACTGTAAGTATCTTTCCTCGTAATCCTGTCTAAATGATGCAAATAACAATAGTGGTGACAAGAGCATTAGTAATATCAACAACAATGCGATAACCGGTTTTCATCCAATCGAGATGACACTTTCTCTGGCTTTTGCCTCCATATATCTGATTCTATTTTTGAAAAGTAATTTGACGCATCATACACTTATTCCCTCCTTATTTATATACGATGCAGTTACACATACTGACACAATGATATACTCTTCATCGAAGCATGTTTGTTCAAGTCATTTGAAGTCATTCAGACTGTAGAAAAGTCGTAAGTGCCAGTAGAATTGTTCAAATGTGAATCATTCTGAATACACGTTTCATGTCAAAACCATGACAGAGACACACCAACAATTTCAAATCAACTATATTAGTTTATTGTAGCGATGTTGACCTGTTATATCAAGCGTCTACGAATACCCTGTCTCTGATATGCTGATGAAATCACTCTTTCTGTCATCCGGTTTGTTCATATTTTAGTCAGGACTTTTGTCATTTGTTCGTGCACAGTCTGAAGACCATTAAGTTTTAGTTCACTAAGTGTATATATATTCTAATATCTATTAATATGATACATTGATACATTACCAGAAACTCAACAAAAGATGATTCTGATAAGTGAAGCTTGAATTAGAAATTTCAAACAAGCGAATATAGAAAAAATAAATCATAAAGTAAACTGCAAACCTAAAGGCCACTTTTCAGCTCATAAGTGACAGTATTTCTGACTACTTGGTGAGTGAGTTCAGTATGAAAATTGATTTGCTCCACTAACTAACTAGTTGTATTTTGAAGATGAATATTTTTCAATTATGACATTACATTGAGTCAGTCGGTTCATTGAGAAGATAATTTTCATGAATCTTGTTATTGAGTACTAACTGTCGTGACAGTGACTTGTAAACTCAGGCATCAACTCATACACGATAATGAATTATTTTGTCCATAAATCAGTTTGTTCTTCTTTAATATTGATTTGTGCTCAATAAGGAGCATATGTTGCTTTAGTTTTCTGACTTCTCTATCTATTCAAATAAAATTTCACTAGATATTGGATACATTAGCATGATAGAATTTTAGGTATTTTCTGTGGAGATTTCACTTGTGTCGCCAATTACCCAGTGATTATTTGAATAAGTAGGATGGCGTCCTATGTGATTGATAAGGATTGAAAAGTGTGAGGGTGAACAATTTGAAAACTTATCACATTTGCCATGAAAGTCTTCTTTGTGAATAGGAACACTTTCAAATTACGAAGTGTCAAGCATGAAAACAATCAACTTCTTTCCACTCGTGGAGTATTTTGCATCATTCTCTTCATACGTTTGCAAGATATACGACTTTGTGTACGGATGTCAATTGAAATAACTAATGGTATTGTAGCCATGATCTTAAATCAGAGAACAGAGTTTTATCAGACCTCTCTATTGTGGTATCACTTCTGATCTACGGATATGAACAAGTTCAGTGTGACACAGTGCACCCATATATTTTCGTATCATTCTCTTTCATACTCTATGCATCAAAGCAGAAATGCATCCTATTTCACTATAGACTTGTAAGTGAAGTCTTAAGTTGCCTTGTATTTTGCTTTCAATAAGGTGTCGATCAGTTCTCTGATTGTTTAATGTTCCTTATATTTGATTGTACACATGTAATCTCAGCGATGCGTGTTCGAAATAACCAATATTATATGCATCCAGTTGTTAATTTATTAAGTGCCCATATTCACAATTTGCACTCTTACTTATAGTAATGATTCATTCGCAAATTTGTCCGAAAATGTGTCAATTCTGCTCAAATGTTTTCTTGATTCCTAGCGGAGCAGTAGATTAAGACCATATATATATATATATATATATATATATATATATACATAAATTTATGGTTCCTAAATTTACTCTGTCAGATGACATTGTGTACTTTCATTTCTATACCACTTGTTTTCTTATCAGCCAAAACCACACGAAAACACCGCATACGAGACTGTTTCCAGGTTAGTTCCTCAGTTTACCCATGCAGGTTTTGATCGATTTTGAATTTTAATGGTTGATTTTTCTGGGTAATTCAAATGACTGTTGCATCGAGAAAATTCAGACCGCTGATAAGCAGATCATTACGCGATCAGAAATACTATATGTCATCATTTTATTTATCCTACTATCAATTTTCATCAGCTACACATTGTAGTTCACCTCAATGCAACATGGAATCTGAAGTTAAAATTAGAAATGTAATATTGTGTTCAGTTCAAAGTTTAGTAGTTGGCGCAGTATCAAAACAAGCTGATGCATAGTAAACTTTAAACAATATTACGACTTTTTCCTTCAACGGTAATCTGATTGATAACTGAACACTGGACTTGTTCACCTTTCGTTCATAGTATCATCTTCAATCGGTCACTCTCATGAGATTCTTCGACGTAGAGCTATACACTACTTGCATGAAATGAAATACGCTTCAGTCGGACTGCACAAGATCGCTCAAAGTCTCGAAGAATTCAGTAATCTGCATGAAAATAATACAAACATCTCGTCAATCAGAATGTCACTGGAAAGATATGAAATTCAGCTACACGAAATCATTGAACACATGGAAGCCCATCTGAAAGAATTGGGTGAAACAGATGGCTTTTCAAGATTTCGAAAAACCGGTTTGAACCAACTCGCTGAAACAGTACAGAAGCGGATTCGACAACTCCAGGTATGCAGAGATTTCATTATTATTATTATTATTGTTATTATTATTATTATTACTATTATTGTTTGAAAATTCTGAAATGAAAGGATTCCTGAAATTACTGCCAGAGTAGACAGCTCTGATGAATGAGTGATTCCGTCCGATATCTTCATTTGGGTGATGAATGAATTGGAGTGGGAATCAGGATCTGGCGTATCAGTCTCGATGATGATTATAGTGAAATGGTGGGCTGATTAGCAATTGGATCTTGAGTCGCAGTCAATAGAATGTCACATTGATGATCCGAAGGACAGTCTTTCGAATCTTGCCACAACCAACATTTTAGTAAGAACATACACTGTCATATAACAGATGGATATTGATTTTTCAAATTTAGCCTATTTCAGACAGCCTCAACATAGCCAGGTGTACCTGTAGTACTATTGTAGTATTGTGTCATGATACAAGGCTATCTTCACTCCTTCACTTCTCCTCCCTCTCGTATCTTTGCTTGATTTCAGAATCCGACGAACTGCCAAACTGCCAAATATATTACATTCGACTTTACGAATTTATGTGGATTCGGATGCTCTGTTCATCAACTAACTGCGTGCTTACATATGGCCTTTGAACTTGAACGAGTTTTGGTTTTGAAGAAGCACTCTTCTGGAGACATTTTCCGTGAATGGCTTAAACAGAACACAATACCACTCTCGGAGAAATGTAGTTATGAAGACTTGAATGATAAAACAGGTGTGTAGATAGTGCTATTGATGCATTGTTGTTGCATCAAAATATATCATGTGAATGTAATTTCATCCCTGAATATGAGAATTCAAATAATGATAGTAATGTCATTAAGCCAAACAGTACGATTGAAACACGCATTGGAGTATTCCTCTTTTTAAGTTGATCCTTATTCGAAATACGTGTATAATGTAAAGGCAGAAATTATGAGTTGAGGTAATGTGTGTTTATTGGAACATGACTTCAGTATTCTGAATAAAAGTCTCCACTGAGTTATTGATTGCACGGCACTGGTTATCTATTCAACGTGAGATTGAATTCGATGAGTTTCATTGGATAACTTGAAATACGACGAACAAAGTGGCTTACACAGTCAGTGAATTTGTAGTACACGTACTGGTTGTTGCAGGCAGGGAACAGAGTCACTTTGGTGTGTAACTGACCACATTTTCCATCTCTCTGACTCGTCTTCACCAGCAATGACCGAACTAAGACCATAAAACCTACTTCATATTGCATGATATCGTATGCTACTGATTGAATTATATGAGTAGTCGGACATCACTCACACCAACCAGTCAGATTGAAGTGATCTTAACACCAGACGGCCATTTGGTGCCCATTTCGGTCCGAACTCATCAGCGATATGCCTGAATCGAATGAGCTCACATAGCCGAATATTTCCAAATTACGCGAATTCAGGATGGGTACTTGCACAAACTGGTTAGACACTGAATCCTTCATTACCAACTATGGTATAAAGCAGGTGGTATTGTAATCTGAGTGATTTCAGTTTCCCAAGGAGATTGTAGTAGAGGTTCAAGTAGAACTGTGTAACTTGAGAACTGTGAGTTAGACTCTACTCACTTCAATTCCTGAGTGCTCATTCACCCTAGTCAGTTGTCTTTGGTCATCCCATGGTTAGCTGCATTCAAGTCGTAGTGCCACAGTTTCATAGGACAAAGTCACGGGATGTGAGAATAAGTGATGCACTGTTTTGAGACCATAAGTCGTGATATTGGATGGTTGGAGGCAATCGGCAGGAAGCCTTGGACCTAGGTTTCGTGCTAGTTGGCACTCGTCAGCAAGGCGTATCTGCAACCTTGAGGGAACTAATGTCCAATATCATCACAAACAATGTACACCGTAATGGCGAGCTACCTAGAATGGTGGCCACATTACAAGCTGACTGATAGAATTCAGTCTGCACCAAAAAGAGGACTAGATGCATCACACTAGTTACTAGTGTCAAATCAAAACACCATAAGTCGTGCAAATAATGCAATGCAGATAGAAAGGCAATGTATGCCAGTGAACAGCTTGATGAGTTTTGACTACAGGGATCAAGCTTCAAATAAATCAGTGGAGAAATTGTGACACGTGAGTGGACAGATTTCTAGGACTTGGTAGATTTGCCCAATCTTAGTGTGAATGTGGTAATAGATAACATGACACTGTCATTTACACAGGGCAATGGTAATCTGTATATAGATATGCATTATCAACTAACCCAGTCAAATCCATTTTCTTCAATCTTCTTCAGATGTTATCGAATGTCCTCTGTTAGCATATATTCCGTCAGATTACGACTGGATTCCAAACGTGCTACCTAGAGATTTAGCTGAAGAATTAATATATTTGCATGAAGCACCGTATGCCTGGTTTGCTGGTCAATTGACCGCATACGTTTTGCGTCCTAACGTGCATCTTTCTCAGCTAATCAACCAAAGTTTGAGTGGATTTAGGCGGAGTGATCATCCAGTGGTTGGTGTGCACATAAGACGCACAGACAAGGTGAGTGTTTTAATAAACTATCAACTGCATTTGAGTGTAACGTGGTGATGTAATTAAACGGACTGTCTGAACACCAGATGTAAACACTAATGCCAAACTGGGAGCAAACGACGTAGGAATATAAGTCATCATGGGTCAGGAAACTCTCAGAGAAATGAATGAGAGCGCAGAACCCCTCGCAGACTTCTGAGACTTCACTGCTTCGGTGATTGGGGGCGGTACAGTGGTGTACAAAAAGCGACACAGATCTCACGTGACGAACACTTCGAAAGCCAGATAGACTTCATCTCAATGCTGCTCAAGATAGTGGAGACGCAGCCTGCTGAACACAAAATCGAGAAGTGGAGCAGATGTGGCCACAAACTATTATTTAGTTCAAGGAACACTCAAGGTCAAGTAGAAAAGCTTTGTAGCGACTGTTGTCAGACCATAATTCAAGTTCGACACTCGGAATCTGAAGGACGAAACTACAAGTGATACCTTCAGTACAGATCAGATCATAGCGAATTCAGAGAAACTGGGTGGCGTCACTGAGGCAAGCTGAGTGAAAGGACATTGGAGACACCTTTCTGAAGTTGACGTTCAAGGAAACGCGTACAACCAAGTCATTATAGGAAGAAAGAAGCAATACTAGGAATGTCACTCAATGGATGCCTGGAAGGCAACAGAGTAGAGGAGTCGAGGATGGTGAAAGAGGCAATGAATTAATGCAGAGGAGCACAAGAGAAGGAGAAGCTGGGTTCAGTGTACATCGCAGTGAACAAAGCAGTGAAGCAGAGTCTACTGAACACCTTGAGCAACAATCTTCGTATGTTTGGCATGCGATTCGCCCCTGTAGAATGTAAGATGATGCTGCAGGATTGGACTTAACCGACCCCTAGATTAGAAATAGGAAGCGAAGTGGTAGAGCACGTTGACCACTTCACTTACTTGGGAAGTACCATCAGCCCCAACGGGTTGATCCCCAACGAAATCTCAGCACGAAAACAGAGGGCTAGGTTCGTATATGCCATTTTACGCCGTCTCTGACGTAGACGCCATATCCGACTATCGACCAAAGGGCGTGTGTACTGCTCAACAGTCCTCTCTGCCCTGCTTTATGGCTGTGAAACCTGGCCATTGAGAGCAGAAGACATGAAAAGATTAGCTGTCTTCGATCATAGGTGTCTGCGTTCTATCTCCCGCGTGAAGTGGTATAATAAGGTGAGCAATATTGAGGTTAGGCGTCGAGTGCTAGGTAAGGCGGGGAAATCAATCGACGAGACTGTGAAATTACTTCGACTGAGATGGTTAGGACATGTGCTACGTATGCCTAGCCATCGCCTTCCTCGACAATGGGCAATGTTAGCTGATATAAGGCCAGGCTGGAAAAGAGCTAGCGGCGGTCAAACGAAAACATGGCACCAGTCAATGAAATCCACAACAGTTAGTCTAAGCCACGTAGGAAGATGTAGACTTCCTGGTTGGGGTCCTCGGGACGGTAAAAACCAATGGTTGGAAACAATTGGTGATATGGCTCAAAATCGTTCTCAATGGCTGGCTGGCGCAGATGCATCCACTCCTTGTGACTTATGATTTCCAATTAAACCGTTTTGTTCTCCATTATTACTATTCCTTTGTCTCACACCTCTGTTTACTGTCTATATTATGCATTTCTCCTACTTTCTTCTGTTGCTTTGTGTGCTACATGGAGGGAGTGTGGCGACTGGAACTGCCGCACGTATGTGCAAAGTTCTATGTTGAAAACCGACCGACCGAAGCAGAGTGGTGAGAAAGGCAAAAGACAATTCTATGACACACTGATGATTGATGCAGAACAGACAGGCCTCAGGCAAACGAGACAAAACAAACGGAACATTAAATCAGATAACCAGGTTGCTATGCAAGAAGAGATCAACCCAGATGAAACCAACGAAAGGTTGATGAAGCGAATTTAACCAAAAAAGGGGAGGAAAATGGAGGCAATAGACTGCTCAGTTCTAGCAACTCGTCAACCGAACACCAAGTACATTTTATCCAGTAATGCCAACAACAGTCACAGGACTGTCAGTGAACACCATCCAGTTGACAATACCATTACGTCAATGAAAACCAGGAAGGCAGCAGGTTCAGTCAAATAGATTTCCTGCAGACGTACTGTAGGCAGATCTCAACATCTCAACGGATATCCTCACACAACTACTACAGGAAGTGTGGGAGGAAAGAAGTCTACCTACTGATTGGAAGAAAGGCTGCGCTATCAAACTACCAGAAAACTGCAACCTGGGACTTCGCAAATACTGGCGTGGTAACATGCTTCTGTCCACGCAAAGCAAACTACTAGCTTGTTTCATGTTAAAGAAACTAAACGACGTTGTGGATGCGAAGTTCCGCCGTCAACAACCTGAATTCAAGTTAAACAAATCCTCTGCTGATCAACTCATGACACAGGAGGTGAATCGAATTCCCTGTCCATTGTTTCTAATCGAAACTAGAAACTATCATATGATATGTGAGTAATTTCAGCGTAGAAATGAAAGTGAGTGAGTGAGCTGCAGGCATTGGCGGGGAGGTCATAAGTTGTGTATCTTGTGCACAACGATGAAGAATACTTTGCGAAATTTAGAAAGTTAAGAACGGAAAAGTGATGAAGAGAATTGAATTTTTCACTTGGCGAAATCATGTGTCTTTATGACATAATGCATAAAGTCTGCATCGATATCTGAATGTTTCTGTTCACTTTACAACATTATTCATCTGATTGTGTTGAAGAGCAGCAAGCGTAAGTCCAGGAATACCCACCAATGTTTTAACCGATTAGACTGAAAGAGAGAAATAAATGAAGAATCAGAAAGGTTTTTGATGGCTAATAATAATTGCATTTTGTTGTCGTAAATAACCAAGCCAAACTATTTAATTTACATTTCCAGCTTATTCGGGAAGCTCAGTCATATGATTTGAAAGAGTACATGAAGCATGTGGAAGATTATTTCAATTCACTTGAGAATACTACACCTCTTTTGAAGCCCGAAATATATGTAAGTTGTATTTTGCACTGGACAGTAATGAATGAATAGTGTCGATCACAAGGCCAGTTTATACACGAGTAGCTTGAATCAGTGTTTCAACTCGTCATGGATTACTCGATTTTCATATTCTGAAGAAATCCTGACATTAGTGGTTGCATTTTACGTGTGCAGCTATGAGAACACATCTTTAAGACTCCATCATTCGTGACAACAGATTTCTCAGCTTCCTAAAATGAAAACCAATACTTCACTAGGAATAAAGATAGCAAACACTCCTGCATACTATTCAAATCACTTCAAGTAACTTGCTGTAGCTCGCGCATTTAGGATTTTGTCGATGCTTTATTCACTAACAGATTAAAGCTGCCTTCATATATCGACAAATAGCTCACCATCACGATAAACCATAATTAATGATTTTCACTAAGGAGACATAAGGAGTATGCAAGTATGAGGGGAGGAAAATCACAATGAGACACAAAACTACATCACAACACATTTGAAACACCAACGAGAAGATAGTACAACTGTGTTAACTATGTCATTGCACAGTGTTCATTGGGTGGAATACTTGAGATAATGCTGTACGCAAAGTATTGATATTGAGGGTATTAGCAATGAATGTTAAAACTAGACAGAGACTCCAGACAGAGGAAAAGATTGTTGAGAGTAATCAGTGAAAATCGGCAGACGACTTCTTGTATGACAAATTTGTTTAATTTCAATGAAAGTAATCCGGTGTGAACTAAATGTGGTTTAAGTGACAATCATTTCTGAATGATACTCATCACATTTCGACTTTAGGTGACGTGGTCCATTAGTATTCTCGAAATATATTCTCATATGTTTTGTGATCAGGTGATATGAACAAGTGAATTGACGGGCATCTGCCTGACATCCATGAATACCATATAACTGTGCAGCTTTGAAGTGAAGTTACGGAAACAGCATTCCTCGCTGACCGATATCTTTAATTGTGCTTGTACTTTCATTGCAAATATCTTACTAGTCGCTTCTGTAGGTTTGAAGAACTTCAGTCGAGATCAGGGAAATAATGTCAGTTAGATAGTCATTGAAAACTATGGAGCACCATGGAGCTGCTTTGTCCCCAACTCCACACTCCACCAGCACACTCACTTGACCGAACCAATTATTGCACCCAGGAACTTCACGCTACACAACAAGCTGGTAGACCAATGAGCCACTGCGACGGAATCCAATGATCCATGAATTCAAACTTCTTCCGATTCGCGACACTTACCGCTACCTCAAGTCGATGTCATCGACGAATATCTGCCTTCACATGACATCAGCTATTCGGTAGATTTCAATGAAAGTAGTTTCGTGTGAACTTACAGTAGGATTATCAGTCTAGGTTTGTAGCCATCACCCAATATCGAAAATCAAGTGTAAGAGGTGAGACAATGAGTCATGCATAGTCGTGTATAAACAAGTCAAAGTATTCGCATGAATGAAACTAATTCAACTTTCATGTGTGTCCATCCTGTGTAATGGTAATTGTGCACTGCATTTCACACTAAATTACACTCCTGCTACCAAATGTATTTTTGAGATTTACAAAGATATGTGCATTTCTTCCATCACTTTTGTTCTAGAATTCGAATGGCTACAACATGAATAATCACACAAAGGATATTGGACGTTTCACACACAGAAACAGAAGTGTTTATTTGATGACAGATGAACCTTCTCTCTTCAACCAGTTCACCACGAATTATCCAGACTATATTCTATATGGCAGTCAGAGAATATCAATGTCAGCTAGTGTACGAAATCGCAGAAGCATTGATTCAATGAATAATGCATTCACTGACACACTGGCTTTATCAGAAACAGATTTTCTGGTGTGCACATTTTCATCAAATGTGAGCATCCTTGTAATATTTCACTCTATTTATCCTGTGTAATCAGTGTGGAAGGAATGTTTTTCACAGCATTAAGGTGAAAGAAATTTCAGACTATGTTAACTCGTTTCTGATCCACTTGTTGGATAATATCGCACTTGACACGTCAACTGGTGAAGTTGACCTGGATTTAACATAAGCCTCGGAATGAATTCTGTCAGACATCTCCAAACTAGGGAGATGTTGAATATTCAGTTCGGTGTGATGTACACTGGTTTTGTTGCAGATGTTGTCACTGTTCAGTGGGTAATGTCAACCTGAAACATTTCCTCCGCATTGTTTGAAATTCATAATAGCAATGATAACGAAGAAGAAGTCAAAAGGAGTATTCGTAGCAGTGTCTGCCAACATTAGGTTTATTAACCACGAGTTACCTCCAATGTGTTGTATTAGTGTTTGTGTGTTTGTTGAATCACATAAAAATGCATTTCACTCATCCGATACAATATAATAACTCACTTTTGTGTTTCAGATGTGTCGTCTGGCGTATGAATTAATGCAGACACGTCACGAGGAACTGGGTGATGCATCACAACTGGTTAAGTCTCTCGATTTTGTTCACCATTCAGAGGACTTCTGGAAAGTCAAATTTGATGTGCTGATACCAGATTTGAGAGCGGGACTGAACTATGGCGATTTGGTAAAGTCAAACGGAAATCACTGGAACGGTTTCTCATCCAACGTCCTCATGTGGCGTAATGATGTTCGAAGTGTGGATGGACAACAGAAACTATCGAGTGTCAAGCAAACGAATTCATTTAATGTGCCTGCATATAAATTCAGACCTGAGTTGAAAATATCCAACTTCATTTGGTTGTAGAAGTAAAAATCACCTTCAGGTGTAATGCCTAACACCTGTTATGTCTGTAATATTTCTACCTTGATTTCTTATTTACTGACTTACACAATATGCATTTCTTTTATCTTTCAAGCGGATTCGTGTATTTGTATGAGAATGACTGTCATTTAGAAGGAGTTAGTGTCCTCTTGTGCTTGTGTGTAATCATTGTCAGGACGAGAAATTCCATATGGTTTGGGAGAAATTGTGATTGAAATGAGCGAAGTAGGCATACTTCTCTAAGCGTTAGTGTATTTCAACATCCAGATATTGCCTTCTTTGATTACTCATTATGCATGTAAGATGGCTTGTTGAAGTAGAACTTGACATGATCATCTTTACACTGACGGGTTACTGTTGAGATATTTCTAGTCATATTCGCTTCAGTCATTTATATACGGATAGAATGAGAGTTCATATCTGCACTAGTAATGTTTCTTCTTACCAAAGTATGAACACTCATGAAAGCGACTATTGTTGGCCTTCATCCTGTCGTGAGATTGGATATTCAATAGTACGGAATTAATATCTGCATTTGATAGTGAGTAAAAAGTCATGATTCATGAATCATTCGCCATGAGAATCGTTTGTCCAACGAAGTGATGTACCCATCTAGATGACACTATTTCGTCCTTAATTTTTCATCAGAGAAGTAATCAAATTTTTTATTATTTATTTAACCACATGTTTTCAATAAAATCACCTACTGTGATACGCTAAAGCTACATCTTTGAGAAATTCGTCCACTTTTACATTTGATTATATATTGATCCCCAAGAAACGACAACACCGCAATGTTCACCACTTGTCTAGTAAACTTTTCTTTTCTTCGAATTTGATTACGCTTCATTCTAGTTAATTAGAGTGTGTGAACACCGCAAATCTTGAAAGGTAATTAGCTGTGTTGGTAAATTTGACACTTAATTTGAAATTAGTTTGGTCACGCCGATGAGAAGTAAACAAATACTGACTACATTTTAGAGACAGTAGATTGTCCTTATTCGAAAACCATGCATAATTTGAGATTGCAAACTATTTCGTTCAACCTTGGTTTCTCTCGGACTTCTGCTTATTCTAAGCTTCTACCTAACGAGATTCCTTGCATTCTGATATTATTATTATTGCTGAAGAATGCATTATTCGAGATTTTTAACTTTTCGTTGAACCTTGATATTTATTAGTAGTATAGAACCGTACGTACGACAATCCCTTTCACAGTACAACTGACACATTCATATGTTACATCCTACAGTGTATTAATCGTTTCGCTTTCAGACTTTGAGAAAGATATCTGGAAGCATCTGGAAGCATTTCAGCCGATATTTTGTCTCAATATAATATATGTATGTATATACCAGTCAGTCACATTTTACTCACCGACATTCCTGTGAAAATGAGATTAAATGCATAGTTGGAATCAGGCTTCTCAAATATTACTAAAACTAATTGAACAGTAATTCCACATATGCTAAAATATTAGAATCGACTTAAGATATCGTAATGGATAAATGAAAATGTGTGCTAAACATAGAATAGATGTCCACTTATTTAATAAACTGTAGGCTTGCATTATACTCAGGATTTGTTTGTGCAAACAGTCGTCAGAAGCGAGACAGGTATCAGTGGTAATCAGTGTGCATACATTTTGAATCCTTGATGTAGTATCACGGTGAAAATATAAGTTAGAAAATACAATTTTCGATTGCTTCCTGAGATTTTCACTTGGACTGATTTCCAACTTATGTGATCCTTTTCTGACTAGCGCTAATCAAATTATATTGGAAGCAACTAGTTCCCTATTTAATAGTAATATTCATAATAATAAGAATAATATCTTTACTATAGACAATATATTCACACATGGCACAGTCTTTTAAGCCTACTAAAATTGCAAAATGTCTACTCTCCTACACAATCTTCAAGTAAAATGGTATTCGACAGTACATCGTGTGACATTGTGTTGTTCCATCTGAAGATTTTTTATCTCTGTTGAAAAATGCCCAGCATTACAGAGAACTGAAATTGTGTGCGAGTTCCTGTAGAGATCCGAAAACGCAGTTGGATGATTCAAACTATGAGAAGTGGAGAAAAGTTTACGCATTAAACCGGATGGCAGTTTAGGTAGCCGAGTGATATAAATAAGCTATCAGTATGTTATGAATTTCGACAAAACTACAACAAGACGTTATCCATCTGAAAAGTGTAGCTTATCTACGGAGCACATTTCAGAGATTCTGATGACACACGTACATGTCATACAAGTCATGTAGATATATATATATATATATATATGGGGCAGCATAGCAAAAAGTACTGGGACTTTTTGAAATACAGGTCGAAATGTTTGCCGGTCACGAACACAGTTAGTAGGTAGGAAATCGAGGCAACAAAATGGAGTAAGCGTGAATGATGAAAATATCATTAGGCAAAATGAACTATGGTTCTAAAAGATATTTAGACTGCTCCCTACAGAATCGTCTGATTTGTCACTGCACCATCAAAGTTACAGTACACAATAAAATACTCATTTGTAAAGCTCGTATGAACAAAAATATGAATTGAGGACAGACACACAAATGAACATTATCCTAATGCCTTCTTCTGTACACGCTTCTTTGGAGAATGATGCATGTATTCCGAACTTGAGAGGATGCTAATCAGTTATTTACGAAGCTGTGATTACACTCATTGCTAAGGTGTATCTACTTATATTCCGGAAAACAACAAACCGATAAATATCTGAAAATATTGACACTTATTGTCAGTTGTACTGTACTGAGTGAAAAGTTGTTGCTATCATTTCATCTATGTATGTTTACGATAACATAAGAGTGGAACTTCCTCAATCAATGGACGTTATTTCATTTTCTGTTTAACAGTTTGTTCACCTACCTACTTACATGTGAAAACATATTCCAAAATCTCAGGCTATACAGAACCTGAATGAGTATTCATCTGTCATGTTTCTGATTTTCTCATATAAATGAAGAAAGATAAGTGAGTTACAGAAAACACAACATTGAGGGAAGACTTAAGGAATCTTCTGCATTCCGTCTTCGTAGAAAGGAGGGAATTCATAGGAAGGGTCAGTGGGGTAAAGACGCTGAAACTTGATGAAAAGAAGCGATATTATAAAAAAGAAATTCACTCCCTCCTATTCTTCACAATTTAATCACGAATCAGTTAGCACTTGATGAAATTCGAAGCTGCAAATTCAATCAAACTAATGCTGTTAAGGCTGCTCAGTAGCTGAAATTGTTAAAAGTGGAAGGAGTTTCCTTCAGTGATGCTCGCTTACGAAACAAATCTCCTTCACTGATGACTCTCACCATATATCTCAACCGATCGCTTGGAAAAGTTATCAGTTACTTGACGAGTCAACACACCTTACTCATTCCAGTCAAAAGAAGAACATTTCCATGGATAAATGTTGAAATATATGAAGCTTGAAATCAACATCAAATAAATGATTTCCTAGAGAAATGATTCCATAAGCTGTTTTCTACGGGTAACAACGAGTCATGAGAGAATCAAAACGTAAGCCGTCTCGACACAGACTTGTGCTGATTTCTCAATCGCATCGAAGTATCTCGCTAATCTGATAAATTCATTTGTTAGAAACATTAACTTGTTATGCTTATTCACGGTTAAATAAATTCAGATTCAAATCTCTTTGTCTCATCATGACAATGTGTAAGTTCGAATGAGTGCAGGAGGAGGATTCGATGGCAATATACATTGCATCATCTTTAAGTGTTTTCCAAAACACTTTAGTGAATATATATATATAATAAATATTTTCATAACACCAGATTCGAGTTCCAGTCCATATGTACATATATATATATACATATGCATATATATGTTTGTACAACACAAGATATATCCAGTTCTGCAGGTGAATTCTCTATTGCCTCTTCAAGGAGTTGTTTGTACATAGACTGTGGGGGATTTCAACTCTTGCGATCATGGCTTGCTTACGTCTGTTGATCGTGAGAACCTTGTCAAGTTTACTGCTCGTTTGAACTTGGTTTTCATATATGACCGTAATGCAAATGAATCCATAGGAGGTCTCGCTTGCCAAATCCTGACCATTTTATTTTTCGTATTTGATTGGAAGTCCATGATAAAGGGATCAAGAGAGCTTTACTTCACCTCACACAATGTCTTCAACAACGGTGTTATCAACATAATAATATTCATTTGCTGAGATGGATGTCTCTGGAAACTTACTAAGACGTATTCGTCGATGAAATATCGGATATTACTACCACCTGCCATCTCAAGTTCTGACTGGACATTTTCGGACCTACTGAAACACTGTTTATGGGGTTTCATAGGATCTCTTCTTCGCACATAAGAAGGTTTCTTGGAGGAAAAGAGCATTTATATAAGTCGAATGATAATGCTGGTGTTAGAAGGTTGAACTGTTTAGTAAAGTCTGCAATGCAATATCTAAATAAATATTCTTAGCATAGAAGAATGTTTCCGAAGTCTGGAAACCATTTAGTCAACTTAGCGAAAACTGAATTTCTATCTGTGCTTGTTTTGGTGTAGTTCCCTCAAGTCGATCTTTTCTACAACTGCAAGCTACCATCGCCTCTAGTCACATAAACAGTTGTTTTCCAGGTTTCGATCAAAAGGATGTATTCGCACTTATCAAATCCCCGAAACCATCGCACAAAGAAAGCTCTGATGGTGTTCCAAGTCTTTTGCATTTTTATTATTCCTTCACGTTCCCAGTGGAACATAGGGCTGCAAGCTGGAGGCTTGAAGTTTCTGTAGCAGTGTTTATTTTTACAGGATGGGTTTGCTAGCCTCATGCCCAACCTTCCCTCTTCACCAGCTTTATATCTGGCTTAGCGAGGTAAAGGAGTGCGTCGGCCGGGGATCGAACCCCGGACCATGTGCATGGTTGGCGAGCGTCCTAACCGCTATGCCACCGACTCAAATTTTTTTGCACTAGAAGTAAGAAAATATTTTGTGTCAATCTTTTACAGAGATACAGTAACTGTCTCTTGGAGGGAAATAAATAATTGTATGTTCCCTTGAGATGTAGAGTGTTTGCTACA